ACACACACACACACACACACACACACACACACACACACACACACACAATCAGGATGCCATCAAAAGGGAGCTGAAAATAAGATCCATTTGCAAAGAGTATCTGAGGAGGGTTGGGGGAAGGTAGTGCTGAATTATGCCCCTGGGAGAGAGGGCATGTCAGGGGCTAGCTCCTCAACTGGGCATGGAATAGGCGTGGAAGCTCGGAGGAAGGGCATGTCCAGCCCAGAGAAGAGCTGGAGCCGAGGCGCTAAGTGGGGGTGCGTCTGGGCACCAGGATGGACTCCATGTGTCTGGAGTTTAGGGCCTGAGCAAGGCGCTGCAGAGACCAGACTAGCAAGACTGAGAGGCTGTGCAGGGCCAAGGGACAAAGACCCAATCACAAAACCCAGGAGTGGTGAGAGAGACCGAAGGGAAAGAGAAGGTCCCAGAAGTGTCCCAGAAAGTAGAGGACAAAAGCACATAGGAGAGGAGAGTGGTCAGCAGGGCTGTTCTGTCCAGACGAGGACAGCAAAGAGGCCACTGGATTGGGTGGTCCGAAGGTCATCAGGGAACGGAGGGAGGATGGGGCAGAAGTCAGAGCACAGATAGGTGCGGAACGACAGGCCGGTGAGCCTGCGAGGTGCCGGCAAGGGAGGCCACAACAAGGATGAGACTGCAGAAGGGAGAGCGAGGGCAGAAGAAGGATTTTGTTTTGTTTTTGTAGACTCTCAAATAATAGTAAGCTGAGAAGAAACTGCTGGAGTGTGAGAACCTTGCACACAGAGGAAGAATAAAGCAGACAGGCTTCAAGGAAGGGAGGAGGTGGATTCAGGTAAAGAAGTCGGCCTGGGGGGCGCCTGGGGGGCTCAGTCGTTGAGCGACTGCCTTCGGCTCGGGTCATGATCCCGGGGTCCTGGGATCGAGCCCCGCATCGGGCTCCCTGCTCGGCGGGAAGCCTGCTTCTCCCTCTGCCTCTGCCTGTCACTCTGCCGACTTGAGCTCTCTCTCTCTGTCAAATAAATGAATAAAATCTTAAAAAAAAAAAAAAAGTCAGCCTGGGACAGAAAACCTACCCCTTTTCCTCAGGATGCAGGGGAGGGGGCAAGGGCGCAAGGAGTTAAGGGTACATCAGGGCAGGAAGGCAAACGTTATAAAGGAACCTCAAGAATCCCCCTGAGGCTAGAAACCACAGATCTGTTCCGATGCCCAACAGTGATTTCCCTCAAGTCCTCAGCCGCAAAGGAATAGGAACAGAGAACCTGGCAAAGGAATGAACCGCAGGCAGTCTGCAATGGAAGGACACCCGCCTCTCTCCAGCCCCCCAATAACTCCCTGGGCCAGACTAGCCTCTGACCTTCAAAGAAATGCTTAGTGACAGCTGGGACAACTTCCAAAGCTCAGGCACATCTTCCCTCCATGACAGTGCTTAACAGTTTGGGGAAGGAAATATTTTACCTGATTTCCCAAATATTTACCTTTTTTTTTTTTTTTTGCCTTTGCATGTGGTACCTGAGGCTGTAACTATCATGTGACAGGATGACAGATGGCAGGAATTTGGAGACAAGGAGCCCAGATTGTTAATTACCCCGTTATCTGGCTTCTGGAAGGAACTTTCTTGGAAGTATAACATAATTTCATTCTGAGGACCTAAATGTGAATGAGGAAAATGATTGCCCTTTAAATAATAGGGTCCTATGATTTTAGTCTGATGAGCCCTAAAATTGAGCCACACACTAGAAGCTGGTATACCTGTGGTATGGCAGAGTGCTTTGGTGTAGGAGTTAACTCTTCTATAAATACCTAAGTGGTGTCTTTCCTATGACGGAGCCTTAGCACATGTCAACAGAAGCTTGTAAAGGCTATTTGGCAGACGTCTGAAATGCCAGTGCCTTCCATGGATATGCTACAAGACTAGGGCAGAGGTCTCTTATTAAACCTGATGGTCATAATGCAGTGGACAGGTGAGCACAGGGGAACTCACCTGCTTCCTTTATATGCTTGTAAACATCATCAGAACCAGCAGAAGAGTAGGGAATGTCATCATGGGCCACAAAGTCAATCTGTTGGAGAGAGAGAAGAGTGAGGTCACCAGTGGGATGGATGTGCATATGCCTTTAAAAAAAAAAAAAACTCTTTTTTAAAAAAGATTTTATTTATTTATCAGAGAGACAGAGAAGGCAGAGGGAGAAGGAGGCTCCCCGCTGAGCAAGGAGCCTGATGTGAGACTCGATCCCAGGACCCTGGGATCATGACCTGAGCCGAAGGCAAATGCTTAACCAACTGAGCCACCCAGGCGTCCCAGTGTGCAAATGCCTTTTGGAATAAAGTAGTCATAATAAAGCAGCTGAAATAAGCAGTTTATAATGTGCATTTGAATCCTTGACTGAAAGGTACTGCCAACTGTCTCCATTTCCGGGAGATAAAGGGAACTAGATTGGTTGGTCTCCTTCACTGGTCCCTCTCTTTCCTCTGACAGTAGGCTTTCTAGGCCTTCTGTCCTGCCTTTAAACTTTCTCCTTAGAGAATTCATTCATGCTTCAGATTTTAATCAGCCTTGCTATGATGAGGAAGCCAAACCTCCATTTCCTGTCCCACTGATAGCAACAGGCCCTCACACTTAAGCCATGTTTTATGTGGTAAAAATGAATTCACAACTTTTTTCTTATTTGATCTCCCTAACCACCTTGCTAGGCAGGAGGGGCTCATACTACTGTTTCCGTTGGGACGGAAGGCTGCCTAAACTAGAAAACTTGTCAGATTTGCCCCATGTCACCCTTTGGCATCATTTTAAAATCAACCTTTTCGATATTTAATTCAGCCTGAAAACTGGTGTCCCCTCCCAGAGGCACCTCCACTTTCCCAGTGTACCTAGGCCCCAAACACCTTGGAATTGGCCTTCTTTCACTACTTCCTTTAGTCTCCAGGCACAAAGGTCCCAAGGCCCCGTGGGCTGTGTGCGTGTTCACGTGCTCATGGGAACGTCCCTGCACGCACGTGCGCCCGCTGAGCAGGTCCTCTCCGTGGCTGCTACAGGAAACCCAGGGCCCAGTGACCTGGACTACTGCTTCCAACTTGTACCTGACCTTCCTCACTGCAGCCTGTCTCCTTTCCAAACTACCCCTCTGTCACGTGGGGGGGCAGGTCCTTCTTAACTGGGTTTCTTTTTTTTTTTTAATAATTTTTATTGTTATGTTAATCACCATACATTACATCATTAGTTTTTGATGTAGTGTTCCATGATTCATTGTTTGTGCATAACACCCAGTGCTCCACGCAGAACGTGCCCTCTTTAATACCCATCACCAGGCTAACCCATCCCCCCACCCCCCTCCCCTCTAGAACCCTCAGTTTGTTTTTCAGAGTCCATCGTCTCTCATGGTTCGTCTCCCCTTAACTGGGTTTCTTCGTGTCATCCTTCTTCCTGCTGATCTCCCCTAGCTCCCTGTCTCCTACTCCATCAAATCTAAACTTGCTGCCTGCCTTTCGCAGCCCTTTGTAACAAGGCTTGATTCCACTTGGAGAGGTAGTTTACAGCAGGAGTCCCATCTGCCTGCCCCACTGCTTACTAGCTAGAGAAGTCATAAATTTAATCCTTAAATCAGTATTTCTGAACCTTGGCACTTGTGACATCTTGAGGTGGATTGTTCTTGGTGGGGGGTGCCCTGGCCTTTACCTGCTAGATGCCAGTAGCACCCCTCTAGCTGCGACAACCAAAAATGTTTCCAGACAGTGCCAAATGTCCCTTGAGGGCAAATTCAAGCCCATTTGAGAATCACTGGATTAAATGATGTCGTGATGGAAAAGCGCTAAAAATGATAACCGGTGCACAGTAAGCACTCAATGTTATTATTCAATCCATTCTTAGTGCTCAAACTTAGTTCCTCCTCCTCTCCAGCATATAACAACAACAACGACAATGACAATATCGGAGTGGCCATGATACTGAATGCAATTCATGTAGGAGCAAAGCCCCCAGGACAGTGCCCGGCACATGGTGAATAATAAACGGCAGCCTCTGCTACCATCGTCAGTACCCCCATCATGCCTGGCACAAGTTGAATATACAATAGATGTTCAGTAAAAATGTGCTAGTGATTGCTGGAAGTAAATCATATTGTAGTTTCTCCTTTTGCTTTTTATTCGTGCTGGGAGATTATCTCCTCTGCTATTACCCATGCACATTTATCAGTGTTCTCTCTTCTCTTCTGCATCGGGGATTTAAAAATAGAAAAGAAAACTCTTAGAACAGCTTCATCTTGTGGGTGTTTTTTTTTTTTTTTTTTTTTTTTTGGTACGGCTTATAAAAGGAAAGAATAGCTCCTAATGTGGAGCTGGTAGGGAGACACAAAGCACATAATTTCATGCAGATCAAAAGAATTTCTCATGTTTTCAACTAATAAAAATCTTGTATCAGTAGGAGTCTCAGGGTCACAAAATCACAGATAGAAAGTTCTTTCCTTAAAGGCTGACCTGTGCCCTTCTGGATATAATGCGTATTCATTTGTTCCTTGAAAAAGGATGCCTGTGAATATACAAGCATCAATAATGATGATGGTGGTGGTAATGACAATGACATTTTGGAGCTCTGACTATGGGCCAGCCAGTGTTCAAAGGGTTTTACTTACGTGATCTCATTAGATTCTCAGAACAGCCCCATGGGAGAAGTACTGACATCACGTGAGCTTACAATTTAGGTAAGTGGGTTCAATGTCTTGCTCAAGGTCCCACAGGTAGGAAGGGATAGAGGCGCACTTGGACGTGGGTGGTCTAGCTCTAGCCCCACAGTGAGGAAGTGAGAGGGTATCAGTCCCCAGGCCTGGGCAGAAGACAGGTGCTGTATCAAGTGACACCACATGACAGTTCCTGAAGTCACCTCTTTCAGAGAGTAGAAGCCTCTGGGCTTTCTGCATGTAGGCTGTAGAACCAGACTCTAATTCTTCTACTTAGAGAACATGGAAGAATAAGTACCTTGTGTTTTTCCAGAAACTCTGGAGTGAGTGTCCACGGAGCATCTCTAATGACTTCATCCACATAGCGACAGTGTCTGAGAGCTTCATATCTCTCTGCTTCGTTCATCACAGTGAAACCTTTGAATTTGTGGGTGAGGTCATCACTGCAAACTGAAACAGACATAGACGTGAAAGGCTGCTACCTGGCCCAGGCCCTGCTCGCAGCCATCCTGGGACATCAGGGCTTGTTCAGCAAAACAAAAGGAGCTCAGCCTTACTTGGTACAGGATGTAATCAAACTTGTTTTTTTACAGGAACAAAGCATCAGGAAAGCAAAGCAAGCTGAAATCCATCAGCAATCGAGAATTCCATTTTGGTGCTAATTTTGACTTCATTCTCTGCTGCAACTTATATTAAAATTATTCTCCACACTACCTAATGTGACTTCTGTATCTTTTATTTTTCTCTCCCACCATTCAGTAAAAATTACTATTCGGGAAAAAAAAAAAAAATGGCCAAATGACCAGAGAGAGAGGGAAGAGAGAAAAAGAAAAGAAGCAGGAGGCCTGAATTTTAGAAGATTTGAACAATCAGTTCCAATTCCCTTGCTGGATCATTGTACTTAGTAACCCAAGTGTGATTCCTTTGCATGCACGTGTGCATGGGCATACGCGCACATGCATCCATGTAAGCACACGTGCGCACGCACACACACACACTTCTGTTCCCTGGATTGAGGTCCAGTCACTATACATCAGACCACACAATCAAGAGGAGGAAGTCATAAAATAGAAGATCTGATCTAGCAGAATTCATCCTTGTAACATTTCTTATCCTTCCTAGATCTCAGGTTCCTGAATCTCCAAATGGGGGTTAATATCATCCACTATCAACCTTAGAAAGAATTTTTTGAGGATTTACATAAGAGTGCTTTGAAATAAACTGAACAAGAAATATTATTCATTATTCTATCCAGAATATATTTGTTTTTGGGAAAGGCAGCTTTCCTACATGTCAGGAAAAAGTGTCACTGTGGGTCCAGTCCCTGTTTACCAATATCCTGGTGAAGGTCACACTATAGCCAAACTGCCCTGACTGCTCTGTAAGAGGTTTTATGTACACACAATAAAACTTACAAAATTTAAGTGTTCAACATATGTTTTAAAAACAAAAATACAATTATTTTCTTGGAATCGAAGGATGACCCACATCCAGAACCAAATCTAGCCACAGAGTGAGCACAGCCAACAGCTATAGCCAGCATCCTTGGAAAACCTCCTGGGGCAGCCCTCACTCACTCCACCTCCAAACCATCCTCAGACCTGCCGCCGCCCCCCTCCCCCCCCTTCAGAGCCCCCCTGCAAGCCACGGTGTGCTCACCACCTCCACTGCTCACCAGCCCGCCCACCTTCTCCCCCCACGGATTACTGCCATGGCCTCCTAACTCTGGCACTTGTTCCTGCCTCGCCCGCCCCCAGGAGCCTCTGCCTATTGGCCAGAATCGTCCCCTTAAAACCTGTCTGACTGTCGTTCTTGGACCCAGAACCCTTCCCGTCTCCCCAGAGTAAAAGTGAAACAATTCCAGTGGCCCACGGGCCCCCACAAGACCCACGCCTCAGCCCATCCCTTGCCTCTCAGATGGCGCCTCCTTGCATCCCAGCCCTTGGCCTTCGTGCCGTTTCCCGAAGCCACCAAGAATGCTCCTGCTGAGGTCAGGACTTGGCACCTCCTGTTCCCCAAACCTGGAACAGCTGTGCTCCAAATATCCACAGAGCTCACTTCCTCCCCTCCCTCGAGGCTTCCCAGCCATCCTATTGAAATTGCCATTTGGCCCCCATCTCTGGTGGTTGCCATCCCTTCCCCGTTTTACTTCTTGCCATGGCACTCCTCATCATGTCACTGTCTTATTGAATTTTACTGCTGATGTCCTTCTACTAAAATATATGCTCCCTGAAGACAGGGACTTTTGTTTGATTTTCTGATGGCCCATAGAGGTCTCTTAACAAGTATTTATTGAATGAATGAACAGTGCCTGAAACATACAGATGCTCGGTTAATGTTTACTATGATTTACAATAATATTTATCTGTAGGCACATTTCAACAACATATATATAATTAAGAGACCAGTATGTCTCTAGATACACATGTGTATGCCTATACATCTCCTATACATACTTCCGGAGATGTTGTATAGACCTGTATAGGATAGAACACAATAAAGACAACATTGTAGTAGTTTATGTTACCCCAACACCATCAACCATGTGGCTGGCTCAAAAAGTTTAAGGAGTATCAGAGTCACCTAAGGAGCTTGCTAAATATAAAGATACCTGGGTCTCACTGCCCAAGAGTTTGATTCCGTGGGTGCTATGGTCTGAATGTGTCCCCCTAAATTCATTTGTTAAAATCTTAAATCCCAAAGGTAATGATATTTAGGAGGTAGGCCTTTGGGAGGTGCTTAGGTCTTGAGGTTGGAACCCTTATGAATGGGATTAGTGTCTTATAAAAGAGCCTGCACAGTGCTCCCTAGCACCTTCCACCACATGAGAAAACAGCAAGGAAGGAACAACTCTGAAACAAGACGAGGGCCCTCAGCAGGACACCATGTTAGGGCCTTATCTTGGAGTCTCCAGTCCCTGAACTGTGAGAAGTAAACTTGTGCAGTTTTTAAGCCAGCCAGCCCAGGGCGTCTTGTTGTAGCAGACCAAATGAATGAAGACCATGAGTCTGGAGTAGGGCCTAGGCAGCTCTATTTCTGACAAGTGTCAGGGATAATTCTGATATGTACAAGATTCAAAAGCCCCTGGAGCATATTATGAACATCTTGAGCCAAGAGCCCAGCCTGATTCTGAATCACCCATCACTCCAGCTTGGGGGTGAGGGGGGCAGGTAGTCGGGCCATAATTACTATGTTCTGTACTGATTCACGGATTGCATTGGCTTTAGACTCCATAAATAGGAATTATGTATGGGTCAAGATATACAATTTAAAAATTGATCTAAGACTTTTTAAATGTTCTGTTAGAACTTTATTAAAACACTACTTCAAGAATCATACTGAGCAGAAATGGATTTCAGATCCATCAATTTTCTATTTTAAACAACACAAAACTAGGCTGGCCATATCCTCTCCCCTTTTGAACCTGCACCTGAGCAATTTGGTGTAACTTCTAGATGACCGAAATAATGGCCCCCTGACAGAGCACAAAGAAAACAAACATCCTGTTTATGCCAATCCAGGGTCCTATTTTCATATCCCAGGAGTGACCTCAAGAAGCAGCTGAACATGCTGACCACTTATTGTCCAAACATTAATTACGCCCAAAGCAGTACTGTTGTTCTTGAGTCTTGGCAAATGCACTCTGACAACCAGCTGGAGAACTCTGAGCAATGGTTCCATGGATGAATTCACTGAGTCATCTGGGAGCTCACACTGTAGCTAACCCATCCTGGCAGCTCCCTGTGCTCAAAATGAAATAGTACCAGTCCTCTGCAGGAGAGAAAATGTAATATAAGGGATGAACTTTGGAACCAAACAGACGTGGGTTCGAATCCCCGCTCTGCTACTTAAAACTGGGAAAATTACTCAGTCTCTTAAGACTCAGTCATCTGTCTTTAAAACATGGCAAAATTTTGATAATTGAATGTGATCATCTGAGTAAAGAGTAATGCTCAAAAACATTTGCCATTTATCAATAGTAGTATAAAACAAGCACTGGGGATATTCATCTGTGTTTTGAGCTCCGTCTTTTTCCTGCCCCCACTCCAAGCAGGTGCCCAGTCTCTTGGAACAAACTCCCCCCTAGAAGCTGTGAAATTCAACCTGCTGGTACACAGCCTGCCTCCCCGGCTGCTGTTTCCTCCAAGCCAGAACTCATTAGAGAAGTTCTGTAAGGAAAGAGACAAAGAGAGAGAAGAGTCCTCCAAATGAGGAAGAGGCCAAAGGTCTGAGGACCCCATAAGCAGAAGGGCCGGTGGCAGACCCCACGAGGGATGATGACATGGTACCCTGGGCACGAGGGTTCCATGTGAGCACAGAAGGCAGGTGCCTCAACTTGCATGGGCTCAGTGGGGCTGGGCTCAAGACTGGAAACCCCTCTCTTGTGTCTGTAAACATTGTGGAATCTCTTTGGACTCTGCAGAGGTGAAGACAGCCTAACAAGGACTGAGACTCAATGTCCCACCAGTCAGGCAAAATGGAGTCCTGGCGGAATATTTAATTTCAAGTAAAGTACAAGAGAGCTTAAAGGAGTAATATTTATGTCAAGTTTATGGAGTACTATTTATGTCTATTATAGTAAGAGTAGTATTACATTTATTGTTATTTTTTATTCCCCTTCTATGAGGTAGAAGTAGGTATCTGGTGACTCATAGACTTAAAAAATATTTTAGGGAGACACTAGCTGGGCTTGAAAAAAGCATGGAAGATACTAGAGAATCCCTTTCTGGAGAAATAAAAGAACTAAAATCTAACCAAGTTGAAATCAAAAAGGCTATTAATGAGGTACAATAAAAAATGGAGGCTCTAACTGCTAGGATAAATGAGGCAAAGGAGAGAATTAGTGATATAGAAGACCAAATGATGGAGAATAAAGAAGCTGAGAAAAAGAGAGATAAACAACTACTGGATCACGAGCGCAGAATTTGAGAGATAAGTGATACCACAAGACAAAACAATATTAGAATAATTCGGATCCCAGAAGAAGAAGAAAGAGAGAGAGGGGCAGAAGGTATACTGGAGAAAATTATAGCAGAAAACTTCCCTAATTTGGGGAAGGAAACAGACATCAAAATCAGGAGGCACAGAGAACCCCCCTCAAAATCAATAAAAATAGGTCAACACCCTGAAATCTAAGAGTAAAACTTACAAGTCTCAGAGACAAAGAGAAAATACCAAAAGCAGCTCGGGACAAGAAGTCTGTAACCTACAACGATACAAACATTAGGTTGGCAGCAGACCTATCCACAGAGACCTGGCAGACCAGAAAGGACTGGCATGATATCTTCAGGGCACTAAATGAGAAAAATATGTAGCCAAGAATACTATATCCAGCTAGGCTGTCATTGAAAATAGAAGGAGAGGGCACCTGGGTGGCTCAGTTGGTTGGGCGACTGCCTTCGGCTCAGGTCATGATCCTGGAGTCCCAGGATCGAGTCCCACATCGGGCT